GGGTGGCTAGTATCAGTCCCGCTTTTTCTGCAACCGCACCCTTTCAGTGGCATTCGGGGCTAGCATGTGGTGCTTGGACGGCGGCTGGCTCCGTCAGATCAAGTGAACACTTGTGCCTTCTTCGAATAAGTCGCAAGCAGGGGAACAAAAAAAAACAACACAATTCCTTGCTTCCTCGCCGCTTGACTCTGCAATCTGGTCTCGTATCCTTGTGGAGGCGCTGGTCAAATCCTACTGCTGATCGCTAGGCTGATCCCTGCCTAGAATCAGCTCACGCAGCCAGTCGCACAACAATCGCGGCTCTTGTTGAGAATCAATGATTTGCTGGCAAGGCCCAGCACACCCATCTGAAGTAACAGGACTCTGCTTGAGATGCGTTTGCTTTGACTGGGATTTCCCGATGCTACACGGCTGCAGCTCACAAACCGGTACCCAAAATGGAACCCTGGCAAGTGGAAACATAGACCAACACCTGTGTAACCCCAGCTGTTTCACTTTGAGCCACATCCACATTGGCCATGGGTAAAAACCCCGTACCCCCAGTGAACATCCTAAGCCCCACTGAAATCGACTAACATAATTCGGTGGGGCACCTACCCCAAAAACTGGCGCCACTGGTTCTGACCCACCGCCGCACGCAGGGCCCGCGAGTCGGCTAAGGTCGGGGCTCGCGAGATCAGCTCCTGCCCGCTGGGCCGCTTGGAGGAGCTCTTCTCCAAAATGTCGTCCTGGCGGGTTTCTGCGGCGTTTTGCGAGGCTGCCGCTTATGGCGATGTGTGGCTTGGCGCCTTTTCTGCCCGGCAAGGGGGGGGCCCCGGCTAGGATTCAACATGCGAAGAGGAGATTATTTGCGGTCAAAGGGGTGTTTCCAGGCCGACGTCATGCTCGCAGTTGCAATTCTGTACTAGTGTTTTTTTTCCATGAAGGTTTCCTTGGGATTCGAATCCATAGGGAGGATGGAAATCCGCCAGCAACGAAAGGTGCCTCTTTTACCCTGGCCACTCGGGTGCAGGTTCTTGTCATGTGGAGAAAGCTGACAAGAAGGCTGCATGCTGAGACTCCAGCCAGCAGGGTTCGCAAATCGGCACTGTATTGAGGAGGGATCGGCTCATACCTCGCAAAGCAGTGGTCGGCAGTGTCTGAACCTCTCACCCTTGTATGAAAAAACCAGCGTCTCTGTCGCCGAAACTGAGCTGGGAAGCAACACAGCCACTCCATTGGCAGCATGCGCTTGAATCTGCTCGTTCATGCTCCCCTCGATTGTTGTGTGGCTACCGCGCATTTCGCCTGTTCCGTGGGGGCAGACATCTTGCAATCGCCAAACCGTTCGAAACCGCAAACGCGACACACGCAAAGCCGAGGCATCAACGTCTCGCTCACGATCTTGTAGACCAGCCCTAGCCTCGTAAGCTCTGCGAGCAAGATATTGGACTCTGAAAAGGCAAGGTGTTCCTCTGCGCTTCGGACTAAAAATCCAAAGCAAAAGCTCTCGACGCGAACATGTGTTAGGGGGGGAAAGCAGCGCGCCTAGCCTCGCAAAGCTCCACACAACGATGTAAACAATGTGCGTGGTTGGGCATGTTGTTTCTTGTTCTCACAACCCTATGGACAAAGTTTGTTAAGTTCATGTTGCATTGCTCATTTAAATCGAGGTCCCGTTCAGTTTTGGCAACTGCTTGGCTTCTATCGTTTGACTTGCTGTTGTCACAGTGGCGAGTTTGTTTTTCCTGTCCTGTGTACCCTCGCGCGTGCCATGACACTAGACACTTCCTACGTAGCGTTGCTTTCACTTTCCTTCAGAGCAGCTTCTGGGCATCCTTGTCACTGTTCAGGCCAACCGACTGATGGGCTCGTCTCAGCTAGCTCCGACATTGCAGCAGGTCTCTCTATGGGCTGTTTTGTCTGTGCAGCTGCTGAGGCACTGGCAAAGACTGGCTCTCAAAGGCGTGCTTCAGCATGCACCTGACCAGTGAGTATTCTGTCATAAGCCAAGTTCAGGCAAGCCGTGAGGCCTCGGGCAACAATGCCAACCGAAAGAAAGGCCAGGCTTCCCAGCTATCAAGAGCCTCGATCTAAGCAGTAGTAGGCGATGATCCTCAACCTACTTCATGGCATTCTCCTTCAAATTCGCATAACACCACCTCATTGCTTGTCCACAATCTGAGGAGGGAGCAATACTGCGAACCCATTGCCTGTTTTCCTTTAGGTGGCGATACGATTTGTGCAGAACGTTGCGGCGGCAAGGCCCTTGATACGTATGCAATAGCATTCTGGCCCGATCCAACACGGCTACCACCAGCCCTTACCGAAACTCTCAAACATTGATAATATAAAACAAAAAATCCGGTGTTGATCTCCCCCTCAATCCGGGGGTTGAAGGTGGGGTTGGATAGGAAACAACATGGCCTTGAATTGCGAATGCAGTCGTCAATTGGGAGTGTTCAGGTAAATGCCTGGAACCAAGAACCATACGAATCCCCTGCCGCCATTTCAGGAAAAGCTTTCACATCTATATAATACTTCACCATGAATGGAAAAAGCACCTTCCCCTTGATCCAGCTTTTCTGCACCACATGAAGCTCAAGAGCAGAATAGATTGCGCAAGGCGTACGCTCAGTCTACGTGCAAAGCGTGAGACGAAGCTGCAGGATTCCTGAGGCTGCAGACATCTCATAGAGAACGCAGCCCAGCGCCCAAATGTCGCTCCTCGGTCAGGCAAAAAGTGCTCCATAGCATGATGCACAAAGATGCCTGAAAAGAGACCACATGCATTCCGCCCGACCGTGTGGGAAACACAAGAAGCCCAACACGCCTTGGGAGACAAGCTCCTTTGGCAAGAAGCACCATGCATCTGCTCCGAAATGCTGAAGGGAAAGCAGGGTACCTCACAACAGAACATGCAAGTTCGACGCGTCCGAGGTCCGAGCTTGTACCCATAAGGCTCCGCCTTGCATACCTAGGCACGCACCATAGGCGGCAAGCAAGGAGCCCCACAGTGACATGGGAAAATCAGATAGGCCATGATTGCCCCATGATTTTTTGGCAAGTTGGGCACGCTCGCCATATCTCGCCATAATTATCCTTCTCAGGTCAAGAAAGGATGATAGCACTGTCATTGGGTCATCTGACTGAAAGCAGCCTGTTAAACAATTGCCAGCATCCCCCCCTGTTCGGTTGCGCGATGATCCTGAATGCATCTGCTTTGCGCGCATCCCGCCTCTGGGGACATGTAGTACGGCGTGCCTACCACCTCAGTGCCGAATGCCGGAAGCAAGCCATGGCCCACACCCCGAAGCAACCTCCAAAAGCCAGGCCAAAGGCAGCAGCAACCACATAACGTGAAACACAATAAAAGAGGCAAACATTGCCAAACCTAACAGCTGAATTCAGCAAACTGATGCGGGGGAGCCAAGGCTTGGATGGATACGTGTTTTCCCATGGCACAATCGCTCATGTGCCTTTAGTGGTGGGGACTCCCAGGTGAGCTCGCTATCTGACATGCTAGTCCTGAATTGTGGCGATTGATTCGGCTGTGACTAGTTGGGTCGGCTCTGTAGGGCCGCTTGTGATACCATCTGGCGCCACTGCTGCCGCGCCGCCGTCGCTGCCACATCTATGGTGCCTTCGAGTACCCGGGAGATGCCGAAGTCGCCGATGCGGACCTTGGCACCGAGGCACGGGGCTGATCCAGGAAAAACAGCAAACGGCAAAACTGCAACGCATCGGGTTCCTCAGGTTTTATAGAAACTGGAGACAACGCCAAACAACGCCAGGTGCACCAGCAGCCAACGTCCAGCAGTAAAATCATGCATTGGAGAGCAGAAGCAAGCATGCGCACGCACGACTCACAAACACAATGGCGCAACGCACTTGCGAAACAAAACCAGTCGTTCACATGTAGGGCTGAGCTTGAGTAAAAGCAGTGATCAAGTCCTTCAAAACGGGACCCTGACCAAGGAGCCAATTGCAGGGCCTCTCACATCACAACAATTCACAACAGCTGCCATTTCCGATCCAGGCCAAAGCGGCATCAAACTCGCCCTCCGTCTCGCTGGTCGTCAGGAACACATTGGAGCCTGATCGCGGCCCACGTGCCACAATCTGATGCCGATGACCATGAACCATGCAAAGGCAAACAGGCACAACCGCTGAAGCTGTATGATGCGCCCATACTCTGCACCTTGCCATGGCTTGGCTCGCCAATGGATACCCTCAGAGATCCCCGGCTTTTCAAGTCTCGGTGAAGAATGTGGCATTGGTGCCTGGCAGGGCACTCCATGTTTGCAACTGGGATGACTTCAGACAGCGTCTACAGGACCTGGAGAAGACCCGGCAACCGTCTAATCCTGCAAGGCCGAGATCAGGTTGTGGACCAAAAGAAGTTGCAGCCACGCTGTTCAGATCCTTTCAATCAATTGGGTGTCTAAAGGCAATGGAATTAGTTGTCCACACATGTCTGTGCATGTGCTACCTATGCCAGCCATTCTGCCTAGGGATCGAGCAACTGCTAGTTGACTGACTTTTCAAGCGCGACGTTTCAATGCGCATCCAACGTTGTGAGAAAACGACAATCCTCGCACTCTCCTTTCCGGCCTTTGTCCATCTCTCCTCTTTACTTGGACTTGTGGGGCCCCTCAACACACGCAACAACTCTGCTTCCCGATTTCTGTGCAAAAGTGACCACGCTGACCCCTCGCCGCATCACTAAATGAAAGTAACAACTCCTCTGTGAATCAACAAAGGTCGTACTCAACATGCAGCGAAATCAATGTTATTTCTGAGAAAGCGCGCTCTTTGTTGACAGCAAGCATGTCACGCACAGGGCAACGATTGCTGAAGGTACCAACGGTGATAGCCAACGGCTGGGGGGGACTTCCGCAGGCCAGCTTTTGCCCCCTGCCTTCGAAATAAATGCACACATTTAACCGGTGTAGATATACTGAGCATGCCCCATCAGCATCGAATATGCTCCGTGTCTTTCATTTTTTCTCGCTCCCGCATCAAGCCAGGGTAAAGGAGGCTTGGCGCTTGCCGCGAAGCCGATGCAGTGCGCTCAAACTGCTGTGGACACAAACCGCGTCCAAAGGCTTTCCTGCCAGACATAGCGAGAGAATAGGCCCCCCTTTGCGGAACGAATTCAAGCAACCGCGGAACATTTGGCATCCAACATGTGCAATACAACTTGAGGTGTCCATCTGCTAGGAATGGTTGGCAAAGCTCTGTCAGGCCTTGCCCAGGGAGCTCGCTCTCTCCCTCTCTGTCTTCCTCCCTTTGGCTTCCGTTCTTTCTGTGCTTTCTTTCTTGCATATGTCTGTTGCTGTTTTGATTCTTCTCTTTTCCTAGCTATGTCTTCCTTTATTCCTTCCTTCCTTCCTTCCTTCCTTCCTTCCTTCCTTCCTTCTTTCTTTTGTTATTATGTTCTTTCCTTGTTCTTGCTTGTGTTTTTTCTTTCAGCATCTCCCCCACTCTCTCTCTCTCATGCTCTCCATTTTCTCGTGTCATGTTTGTCTTTAGAATCACCGCTGTCCTGTGCCGCCATACCACAACCGCGATGGACAAAGAACATTTCACTTCAGTCAGCTCGCCATTGGCTTGCCAGATTTGTCTGGTGCAAATGGTTGGACTCCGGGCTGAAATGCCAACGACTTGCTGGCTGACCGGATTTGGCTGCGAGTGCTCCAGAACCCCCCCCCCCCCCCGCCCCCGGCACAGCCCAAAAAAATCGCCAGAATTATTCTTGAACTCAGGGACTGAGTGAAACTGAGACTGATATCATGATATACCAGATCTTTATTGTAACAGCAGGTACCTCACCTACTTGACCTACCCCTGTTCCCTTGATCCCGCACCGATGTTCAGTCCTGAAACCCTGCACTTGCGAAGGGCAGCCCACCACGGGTACACCATGCCGGGGAGGAAGAGAACCTTTTGGGACGCGGGGAGCGAGCCCCCCCTCCCGTGCCATGTCTGAACCCAGGGATCCTTCCTCTATCCGGCTAATATCGATAAACCTGTGTCGACTTCTTGCGAACGGGGCACGCAAACCCAAGAGGGAAGCCTTTGGCTGCCTGCTGAAGAATAATTGGAACCAGGGGGCCATTGCAGAATTCTTGGAGGAGGGTAAAAGATCCTCTCAACTTCCTTTCAGGCAGGGTAGCAAGGTGCCAACAGCAGAACCGCATGTGAATCGAGCACCCAGATATAAATCTATGAAAAGCCCTTACTTCAAGAAACTTTTGCGCGCGCTTTCCTCCAACCAACTTTACTTAGTCTGTGTGCCGGTACTGCCGGCAAATAGACATGTTTCATTCTACAGTATCTTCCTTACGCAAACTTTCGCAACAAGAATCTGGAACGCGACCTCCATCCATCGCGAAGCTTTCGCGGAGGGCGACGCTAGGACAAAAAGGTCCTGAATAGGACCTTTTGGACGACCTCCATATCTCATCCCAACGTCTGACGCAGGGATTGATGCACGTCCACGACATCAAACAAAAGGGGTGCTTTTGGTGCATATGAGTGTCTTCTTTTCGTGCGGGACCCCTTGGCATCCGCGGGTCAGTAACCCTGCACCAGAGTGAGAAACCACCCAATATCACCCAATTTAAACCACCCCAACCCCCCCCCCCCCCCGCCGGTTGCCCCGGGTGGGGTCGACGGTCCCTGTGCCAAAGGGCCCCAAAGGCCAGGGAGGCGCTCAAGTCTCCGGGCGCCGCCAGGAAGTGGCAAAGGCCCAGAAGCCAAAAGACCCCCACCCAGGAGAGGACCGCCTTCTGGCACGCCCTCAGGTGAAAGATTCGGACACTCAAAAACCCCCAAAAAGGGAGTCTGGGTGTTGAAAGTTGCCGTTCCGGGAATGCAGGCGCAAAAGTTTCTCTGCGACAATTGTCAATACTGCTGCCATCGTCCTCCGTGAGGTGATGTAACGATCAACCTCAATGAGGTGCACAAGCAAATGACGCCCTCGCGCCTTGCGGCAGCTTCGAAAGCTTTCCGAATGAGGCGAAACCCCAGTGTCTAGCCTGCCCTGCAAAATGACCCCCCTGCACGTGAACCAACAAAGTCTGGCGACTCAGACCCGCGAAGGCCAAGATTCTGGCGCAAGCAGCCCCGGCCCAACCCAGCCAGCAGGTTGTAGCATGTCGCCAGCAGCAATGCAGCCAATGCGGCCATGGTGGTGAAAGCCTCCACCGTTCCAAGGACCATGTCGCAGTCCTTATGCCAAACGCCCTAGCCCGCAAAAATCCTGTACTGAGCACCCTGAACAGCATTACTGCGTGTTACACTTTGGCACCAAAGGCGTTGCATAGTTTGCCTATCAGGAGACATTGTGGCGGTACATGCTAGCAACACGCTACATAACTGCCCCCTGAAACGTCAGATGTGCGGAGGCGCAAATGTCTTAAAGCTTTGGAGGGGCGGGTAAACCTGATGCAAAACTGTTGCTCGCGTCTTATCCTTCTGGCAGTAGAATTGTTTGCTTGCGGGTTCCCTGTTGGCTGTTGGCGAGTGATGGCGAGCGACGGCGAGCGATGGCAAGCTGTGTTTAGCCTAACTGCAAGCTGGAACATGTTGCACACATGGCACATGTGCGGCAGCAGGTTAACATGGTGTAGAGACTTGTCTAGCGAGCAATTACCATGTTGGCAGCAAATAAACCTGCTGAATAACAACTTGTCTGTGCGTCACATTTTGAGCAGCGTGACTGTTTGCTGTGCACGCCAGGTGATTGCAAGCAGGCTCCTGCGATGAGCCTGATTTCCCGCCAAATGGCTGTGGCTCAACAAACCAGTACGAACATGAAGCCGCGGTAAGTGGAAACATGGACCAAAATCTGTGTAACCCCTCCTGGTTAATTTTGAGCCACACCCAAATGTTCGCGAGTTCGAGCGGGGAGAGGGGGGGGGGGGTGGGAGCCCAAAAAAGCCCCCAAATTGCGACCAGGTGGCCAAGCCCCCGACACCGCTGCCCCAGAACTGCACCGCCGGGTTGGCCCAGCGCATGCAATCCTGCGCTAGCGCTGGGGGAGGGGGTTGCCTCATGGGGGGGACCCCTACCAACCCATAAAGACTAGTGCCACAGAGAGAGAGAGAGAGAGAGAGAGAGACAAACACACAGAGGCACAACACCACAGAGGCAACCCCCACCCACCCACACACACACACACAAACACAGGTGGAGCTTTGCCGAGTGTTTGGCAACCCTTCCGCCATGTGAGCAGCATTCAAGCCAAAGCGAAAGGCCATGTGAGGCTTCGCAAAGGCCCGCCTCGAAGCAGAAAGCCAAAAGCAGCATGACAGCATAACTCCCCAGGCCAGTCAGCAGCAGTTGAGCCGTCGGCTCACTGTCTTTGGCCAAGTTGGCCGTCAAGTTGGGCCGCTCAAACTCAGGGACGCTGCGGGGGGGGGGGGGAGGGGGGTTATCAATGAGCGGTGATGATCAAAAGTGAATCAGGGGCCCTTGCAAGAGGCTTGCCTAGTATAACTTCCCCAGTTGAGGCATGCAAACCACGATCACCGCCACGGCACAGTGCGATTCAAATGCATGGCAATCTCTTAGGCTCTGGGATAATTAAAGGATGGGACAACCGGAAGCAAGTGGCTGACATCGCTTGCCCCTCTCAACAAATCTGTAGTTCAAAGCCACGCCGTTTGCAAAGCTGTCAACAAGTGTTTTGCGGCCTAGGGCAAAGCGAAGGTCTCGCTTGAAACATTGCACCTGTAACGGACGTGCTCTGCTTTGAGAAAGCCTGACCGCCCGACCTCTGAGCTCGTTCCTTCGTTCCTTCCTTGCCCCGTGCCTGGCACGGCCAAAGGGCCTCTGCCAACATCACCGGCAGCAGCACCCACAGCCCCAAGGGGCTCGGGTCATTGAGCAGCCGCACCGCGCAAGCACCGCAGAGCAGCCAGAAGAGCCCAGCCCGGGCACGGAGCACTCGAAGGCGAAGCGAAGCCGAGTGTGCGAAAGAAACAAATGCCAAACAAGATGGCAATGCAAGGGGTGTCAATGGGGCAGGATGTCACGTTGGGCGAATGGAAGCCAAATGATGCAAGGAAGGAGCCGGGAAACACGGGAAATGTATTTGCCTGCGGGGGCTTTGGATCAATCCTTTCAGGGCTAGCGTCACATTCACCCAACTGAACCATCTGAACCAAACACCCAAAATAGAGACTGGTCACGCTCAGGGGGAAGCCCGAATCAAACAGCTAAGTGGACTTCTTGCAAAGTGCCACCCACATGAGACAGCCCGGATTTATCGCATTCAGGGTCTTAGCATCTTGGGCACTGCACAACAAGGTTCCGATTCCCCCCCCTCCCTCTGCGCATAGTCAACAGGGATCCACCTCTGCCCTACATTGCCAAAGGCGTGTGTGACATGAGAACAGACCAGTTTGCGTGATCAGGCTCTCTCACTGCTTGAACATGCAAGCCGTTGAACTACAAAACATGTGCCGAAGCCCCTGACGGCATGACAGTTTCGCAGCTTCCGAAGAATGCATGCTGCCAGCTTCATCTTGAGACAGAAGTAACACATCCTCCTGAGACCCAGTTTCAGCCTTCAGCCAACCTGAACATTCGATGTCGGAGTGCGGCCTGACAGTGCGGAACATGTTGGGACAGCTCCCACTGATTTCACTTTTCCAAAAGAAACTGGACATTCCCTTTTAACACCCCAACCTTGCCAACTTACAAGCCGGGTTGTCCAACTAACTGACTCTGCAGAGCGCAACCGCTCATGGAAATACACGCGCACCCGCTCGGTCCCAATACACAGCCTATCTTCATGTAGGCGGCCGCCAAGTTCAAAAGAAACGGCCCAGCTTCAGGCTCCTCCTGACATGTGGCGAGACAATGCACCATGCGAAAGCAAGACTGTCCGGCGCTACTAGTACCACGCGTTGTCGGCTTCGTCCGAGTGGCATCATCATTTGTCGTGATGGCGGTGGCGCTGAGGTGGCTGTGGCAGTGGAGTTGGCGGTGGCGGCTGGTTTCGGTGGTGATTGTGCTGCTGGTGCTGGTGCTAGCTTGAAGCCAAAACTTGCCTCTTTGTGTGTGGAGGAGTGAACCTTTTGAATTTCTACGCAGGCTGACCTCCACTCCGCTTCAAGCTCGCGTGCACTTGACCCACGCATACCTCCACCCAGGTGCAAAACGCCTGGCCCGTTTGTGCCAACCACATCTACCCCAAGGCGACATATCAAGAGACATAAACAAGTGGCAACAAGCAATAAAACTCCAAGCTCCAAGTAGACAAGCAAAGCTAGGTCTAGGATAAAGAGGCAAGCAACAACCTGTCAACAGCTTTACGTATTATATAATTAGTTACTATGTATGCATGCATATGTGTGTTTGTATGTACCTGTACATATCTGTGCACATACATACATATATATATATAGATACACATGTATGCATGTACATACAAACATACATACTATATATATATATACACAGATTTATACACATACACATCAAGGAAACACACACTAAGGTCAGCCCACATGGACATTTGACCAAACTTTCTCCTCCAAAACCTCCTCCGCCAGCTGCGCCTCTTGAAGGCTCCGCAGCTGTGGCAGCCAGGCCAGGCCTTGCGCGTACGGGCGCCCAACCCGTGTGTTCGGCGGGTAAACTAGCAAAACAAATGACAAAAGGCTCTTGAACCCGACGATCGCAATGAATGCCAAGTTGCGGACCAATTGGAACTAACAAGGCAAGAAGATCGTGTCAACTGGAAAAGGCGCAAGAGAGGAAAAGGGTACCAACTAGGATCCGCTGAAACTCAAAACACGGTTTGCCCAACGGGACGGGGTGGACAATCAGAGAAACGGAAATGCCAAGAACAAGTGAGATAAAACGGGAATGCTTGCTGAGGCGAGTGGCAGCCCAGCAAAGCTACTGCCACCTGCGCTGCCGGCCGCCAGGCCGCCAGCGTGTAGGTGACGTAGTCGCACCTACAGGCTCCCCTCAACCGGCCGTAGGGAGCAAAAAATGGAATGAACCTCGGGGTCCCTTTGGCAGAAACCACCGTAGGGGTCATTCCATGTCTCATTCCCTGCTGAGCACAAGAAAAGTCAAGCAGAAATAATACCTGAAATGCCAAACAGAGTAGCACCATATACCTAACCAACGCACCGTGGCAGTAGATATGGGAAATTAGTTCTGATTGACGGGCATCGCCCTGTCCAAACAGCTTGCTCATTTATTATATCATCGGAAGGCAGGAATCAGCAAACCTATGCTTCACGCTCGAATTCTGGGCATGAGGCATCAGCACAAGACTCGAGGCAACACCTGGCAGCAATAGCTTGAGATGGCAAGCCTGCAACCAAGGCAAGCGCGCAAAGCACAACTACAATCAAAATGACACAAGACTAAGAGCAGCCCAAAGGTCAAAAGGCAACCATGGCATGGCAGCTAAAGGGGTCTGAATGCCCGGGGCAAGCAAAAACCAAACCTTGCAAAGTGTGCCCTGTCTTTGGCAAGCTGTGAAGGAAGCGACCCCCCAAGGAAATGTGCAATCTGGAGGTCCAGGAAGTCTGGAGTTTTCCTACTCAATGTGCAACTAAGCGGCACGACAACAAACAGCTAGAAATCTTCGGGGTTGCCGAACATGTACACCGTCGAACAATGCTCCCTTGAAACTGGGTTGGGGGGTCCTCGATTGCTTTTCTAGCGCCCGCAAAAGGAAGTTAAAACGCCCAATTCACCTGTTCTTCCCCCTGTCGTTTTTTTTTTTTTTAATAATATTCTAGTACTCTTTTAATATCCTACCGGAGTGGATTCACAAAAGCCACATCCAAATCGTTTTGTGGACTGAAGGCGCTGGGGCTGTCGAAAGGGTCCATGACACTCGTTTGGCAAACACCCAGGCGCTCTTCGAAGACATCGCTGCTGCACTTCGCTTGGATGTGGCAAGCGTGTTGCTGCAGGTCCGCCTCTTCTCGCCTTCCAAGCTTGGAGCTGGTCTGGGGGTTCAATCGGGCGAACCTTCCTTTAAGCCGATGGCGTCTCCTTTTTTGGGGGATACCTTGGCCCAGAGACCAGGAGGGACTTGTCATAGTGGAGACCTGGTGAAAGGGATAGGTGCTTCGAAGGAGTTCGGAAATCTTGGGGCCAGGGAATGCATCATGAGAGTGAATATGAATCAATAATTCCTACGCCCATGCAAATTGAGGGATTGAGGCATTCATATAATATGAATGCCTCAATCCCGACATTTGCATGGGCGTAGGAACTAATTGGACAACAAAAAGGCGACTTCTCTCATATTTGCCGACAATGCCAGGATATGCCAGGGGATGAGTGTGCTCGTGGAAAGGACAAAGTTCAACGACTACCTCCCCGAAGTGTGATGAGAGGGAGGGTGGCACCCGGCCTCATTCACGACCAATCACCGAGCCTTGCGCCTCAAACAGCCCACGCCTCAGGGCGACGAGATCCACTTTGGCAGTGCATGCAAAGTCGCCGCTGGGAGCGCCCACGTGCTGCAGCAGTCGCTCGACATTTTGCCCGAAATCCTGCAGCATGAGCCCGTTAGGGACCCCATGGAACGGTGGCATCTTGGGCCACCCTCTTTCACGGACAGGGCTTGCTGATCTGAGTCTTTCACGGTAATGTGGGAATATTGTGGGATTCCAGGAGCCTCAGAAACTCAGCAAAAGTCATGGCTAGAATCCGAGTTGTCCAACAGCGAAGCGCGAATGCGCTCGCCAAACAGGCCATTAAAATAACACTGCAAACACAGAGCAACTTTAGGCAACCAACGCATGGCGTCCCTTTTGTGTTGGCAACGGCCCTTCTTCACTGGCAGGCTCCTTGCCCTCGCATCTTGCCCGGCTAAAATGGGTATTTGCGAGCAAAGCTCGAGCATTCGTAGGCTTGCACTAGGTGACACTGGCAGTACGCCAAAGCCGCCGCTCAGATCGACCCTACTCCGTCAAAAAGGCATGTTGCTTGCTTGCACATGGCTTATCTCGCAAGAAACGTGAGCCGAAGCTGACCGCTTCCAAGGTGACTCCTTTAGTTGCATGGCCCATCTCTGATACAAATCTTCATCGCTGCCTTAGCGAAGGGCACTGATGCTCCTGGTGCCCCCACCTTCCGGAAAAAGACAAAGCAAATGGTAGATTTAAAAACAGCCAGCCCCAGGAGCAGTGACTTTGACCGCTGGTCACATGGAAACAGGCTAAAAACTATTATACTAACCGGTCGAGTTCAAATAAGTTTCTTTTCATAGCAGGGAGAATGGGTGGGGGGGGGGGGTGTCCAACTCGTTTCGTTCATAAACACCTGCGCAACATGCCAATCAACTAAATAGTGCCACATCCGCAGCTACGTACTCCCATAGAAAACATCCGAAACACATCCAAAACACCAGTAGATCTTCATGGCAAGTGACTCATCGCCAATGGGAGAACCTTTTCAAGTGCCAAGTTCCTGACTCGGACGTTGCCATGCCCATGCCCAACGGGTTCGAGCCGAGCCGTCCTGGCAAGCGCTGCAGCGGCCGCCCATGCAGGCGGTGCCCCTGGGACACATGTCCTGAACCGCGCAGCCGGGCGCACAGGACTCCTGCCGGCGCGAAAGCCGAAAGCCGAAAGCCGAAAGCCCAAGGCTTCGGCCGGAAACCAACTGAGACACGGCTCAGCCAGTGACTAAAGAAACTTCATGCTGTGGGGTACTTGAAAACTAGCTTTAGTCATAATCGTAGTTTTAAACTTGCAATGATTTTGCTACCTGTTTTAGCCCTGCACTGCAGCTGTTGTTGCTCTTGCTTTGCGCAAGGTGCAAACCTTGCTTTGCGCAAGGTGCAAACCCCGCCCATTTCTCTCTCGGACATGAATCTTAATTGGAGACCCTTGCTAGACGCGAGAAATACCATGGTTGGAGTGTGACAACCTTGTGTCTTCCAGCCAGGGTTCCTTGGGTCTAAACAAGCTTATGGTTCTCTATCCGGAAGAGGTGTGTCTTTAAATCGGGGGACCCACAAAATGGTGTGTGTTTCCTTTTAGCGTCCCTTTAAACCAACCCAACATGAGTACATGACCGGCCATGGGTCAAAATCCAGTACCCCCAGTGAACATCCCACTCCCCACCAAAACAAACTAAAATGGGTGGTGCACCTACCCCACAATGGTACCATTAGTTTTGACCCACAGCCACATGGCAAAACGCCACATATTGGCGGAAGAGGATTGGCTCGCCTGGAGCAGCAGCTGAAGCAGCGTGCCCTGCAGCACCAGCACCACCCCCGAGCGCAGCACTGCGGCGCCTGCTTTCAGAAACCGTCCAAAGAACCGGTTGCACTCTAATTTGTCTGCTTGAGCAAAAAACGTGTGGGAGACACACCTGTTGATAGGCTGCATTTACGCATATTAAGACGGGATGGTCAGGTGACTTCGGCACGCTGCGAAAAAGAAACCAACAAGCGGCCCTAAGAACGTAAGAAGTGCTGCGGGGCCGCAAAGCGATTCAAGTTTCGGCTTGAATATAATTAATGTTGAATCATAAAGCTTCTCAAATTTATGGCGGCCTCCCATGCACTCAGATTCAGTGTCCCGTTGGGTTTGAACTGTGTGCTTTTAACTGGCTACCTCAACGGCTTGAACATTCCCCAGCTGGCCTGCTGAGGCAGCTGAGCAGCCGGGCTGTCGAATCCTGGCGGTGTCTTCGTTTGGGAGACCCCTTTTGACATGTCGGGCGTCCATGTTTGTCTTCAAGGGAGAATCGCATTCGCCTCTGAAGGCCCTGAAAAACATGTGAATAATGTTGCGCGCATGATAAGATTGCTGCCAATGGAAAGACCAAGTGTGGAGCATCGCGGGTCTAAGGATTACATGTGTTCCCCAATATCAGTCCTTGGTCTCCCCTGTGAAATTTAGGTACCTCATTTTATAATTTTACCCTGTAGATGGGAGTGCCCAAAGTTCGTGTAGAACACCAAACGTGGGCTTCCCTGACCTTCCCTGCACTGCAACAAGTTGCGCAAATGACATGATGCTGTGGAAGTCAAACGTCTGAAGGTTGTTCGACGCGCGTGCGGAAAGATACTGCAATGTCCAGGCGCATGAGGACCCCAAACCGTCCCCAGTTGCCCAGTGACCCTGGTAGAAACCAGTTTGCGCGGCATCTCTTTTGGGAGTTGACCATTTTCAGCAAAGTTCGGACCCCCGTCAGCCCAAGGGATTTAGCGCCAGAACTTCAACTCCGCGCCTCAGGACAGAGGCTCGGTGCAGCGACTGCACGGACACTGAGCCCACCAGGCTTGATGCCTCCGACATGGCCTGACGTGGAGAGCCATCAGAGGACCGATGTCAAACACCAGGTGGGTGCCCAAGAGACTGGCGATAGAGTCCGCTAGCCTCCAATGAGTGGCCTTCTCAAAACAAGTAGTCTTCCCAAACATCTGCAGCTTCCATGCTGAACATGAAGAACCAGATCAGTCGTGCTTGCATGATACAGTAGCAACTTAAACCTGTACATGTCAAGCTGGTTGAGCGTCTTCTGTTGGCTGGAGTCCTTTGAGAAAGAGAAAGGGAAATGCAAGCGAAGGAGCTGTCGCGGCTCCAGCCACGGACAGGCAAGCGAGTCGTTTTGACAAGCTCTGCGTGCCCGCATGCCCAGCCCATTTTGAGCGGGCGGAACCCCTGAGCCGATGAAACGGCAAGAGGTACACCAGCAATCAGAACAAGCACAACGACTCAAGGAATACATACACCACTAGGATTACAACTTGCCCCCTGGGGCGGTCACAACATCGCTTGCGTCCTTTCCCCTTTCAACGCCAGTGATCGCCAGTGAAAGAGCACTTCCACAATGGTCCAGTACACCTGCAGGGACTTATAACTTGAAAATTGCTGTTCAAAGCAGGGAGAAAATTGACCGTGCTGCACCTGCCACGCAAACTGCAACCTTACATGCAATAAAATTGGTTGTTGGTGCGTTCTGCTTCGCAGGCCTTACAGGGAAGAACGTTTGTCCTAACCATGGCCGATGGCTTCAAGAATTCCACCTACCGCCTCACAAACGTGTCTAAGCCCCGAACGCAACCAAACAACTTCGGAACAAATAAGACAAAGTGAAGAAAGAGCCGAACTCCCATGCCCAATGGCACCGTCTGAACTCGGAATTTTGGTTGGAGGCCGGCCCGTGTCAAAAAAAAACATGCCGGGGACCACATGTAGTTCAGGGCCAGGGTCATCTGCACGAACCACGCCATGAGCCGGGCTTCCGGGATCAGGTCCGGAGGCTTCACCTGGCGACTCGTCTTGGCCAAAGGGATCCAAAGAAACTTTGGTGTCCAGCCCCCCTTTGCCATACTTTCAATCAGTAGTTTGAAGGATTGATTCAAGATTCAGGCGCCACCTCTGCTCTGCCTGATTTTGCATGCGTCCCAGCTGCGGGTTGACTGCTCCCAGTGTCTTTGGGCGAAGCGCGCTAGGATGGCTCTCTAAGAGGCCATTCTTGGCTGTTCGACTTCCTTGACACGGGGCGAATTGAACCCCAGCGCCAGAGCGCTGGCCTCGAATCCAAGTTTTGGCAAGCTGACAAGATTCCTGAGCCATCCCGCCCCAGTGCCCCATCCTCCTTGTCTTTTGAGTCTGATCGTCACCCCACACAGCTTCAAAGGCAATGGCACGCAAGCTTCTGTTTTGACTCGTGCAAAAAGAGCAATCTAGCAGGCCCTGCAAAACAAGAAAGTCTTGGCAAACACGTAAGACTTATTATCTTCTCTCATACGCCGATTTGAAATGCCTGGAAATGAAGTGCCTTCAGCAAAGGATGTGCCGAAGGAAAAGCATGTACACCTCCAAGCCGAATAACGAATCATCGGATATAATTGGCGCTTCCCTCTACTCCTGCGCGAACACCAAACAATTGGACAACCAAGTCACCGTAAGTGACTCAGAAAAGCATTCGAGTTTAGGGCAGTAGCGCATCACAAACATTTGCGCGCTGACACACTGTCACAGGTATTAAACGTCAGGCACTTATGTATGCCTTCGAGATCTTACGAGTGCTTGGGTTTCAACAACAACCCTTTGAAGTTTGCTGCAGCAAAACCTCCGTCTCAGTGAGCTTTCCTGCAGCAACATATCGCGGCGGCTAGGACTGCCACCCCCCAGGAAGCCGCAATTATCTCCCCTTGGCCAGAGTATATTCTCATACCTTGAAAGAACCGCAACGAGGCCCCTCCCCGTAGCCAGACCTGATGATTTTCTCAGACTTTCCCGAAACCGCAACGGGGCCCCTCCCCTCGGTTCCTGCCGTCGCCTGCGTCCGTCGCTTCACCTCTCCTCGCAGGTCACCGGTGTTGCAGAACTCCATGACCTCGATGGCTCAAGTTGGACCCAAGAGCAGGCTGGCCCCAAACGGGGCCAATAAATGGGAAGAGCAATTACCCTCCCACCCTTTTCACATGGAACCTGACACGGGGTCGCTTGACAAGGAAAATGGTCCAAAAAACCAGGACCCTGTCAGGTTGCATGTTCATTGGTGGAAGGGTACCAATTGTCCACCCTTTTAGTATGTCCTGTCAAACAAGCACACCCTTGTGCCCTTAAAATGACGCCCAAAGCTTGGACAAACCGAGGTGCGGTTCAACATGCCACACCAAATCAAACTGATGGCCAACCCTAATGGCCCTCTGTCCATCTCAAGGTCTGGATGCGAATGCTTCACTCAAAACTCCCCTGTCATGTCTCCTGTCACGTGGGTGGGTAGGCGGTGCTATCCCATGAGATATGTTGAGGTCAAGCAAATGCAGACCGTGGCTATTCGGTGGTTGGGCTGCATTTCGCTTCCTTGCCGCGGTGTTAGCCTTCCTGCCATGGCATGTGTCTCAGGGGGGAGTTGCGCCACCGCCACTCCGTGCCACTTTGCAGGCATCAGTCGCCAGTGTTGTTGACAGGGTGTATGTTTCCTGGGTCTTGTGGGAGGGCCTTCAACTGCAATATGGCTCATCCCTCCAGGAACTCATGGCACTGCGAGGCATCTGAAAAGCCACTTGTCAAAGACAAAACTGCCTTATGTCAATTAGGTGGTTGCCAACCCATTGACAAATTCTTTGCAACAAAGAAACAAAGGCATCATGCAGGCAAGTTGCATGCTTCACAACAAGGCACGCTTTTCGAGCTGCAACAATTCCAAAACTGAGCAGCCAGCAATCACCAGCTCCAGGCTGGCCTGGGTCGATCTTTGCCCACAAGCGGTCTGACTTTCAGTTTCTTCTTGTTGAGCATGCGCAGCTCATGCCACTTGTTCTTGATATAAGTCATCAAACCACTTTATCGTTGTTTGTCTTGATAACAAAAACTGGGCAGGATGCAGTTATCGCTGGCGTGGCTTTTGCCCTGCTCTCCAAGATCATGCGACACGTGCGAATACTTCTCGCCAGCCTCAGTGAGGAAGTGGTCCCGGAGAGCAACAATATGCGGATGCCGCCTTAGCAACGCATGGCATGCACTAAGCAGGAAGAGCTCTGGCCCCATGGCCTGGATTCCCAGAACCGCTTCTTGGTGGCGGATCTTGGGGAAGAACATTTCCTTTCGGGGTTTTCACCTTTGCCAGGCGTGCACATCCAAAACCTTGGCCTGGATGGATTGAGGTCCCGCACAATGCTCGCATGAGCACAACCTCCTGGAAGGCCAGGTTGTGCTCCTGAACGGCTTGCAGTTTCGGACAGGAAACGGAATGAACCCGTTGCAGCACCCCCCACAACTGCTTTTCCCATGTCCAAAACCTCAAGTACTGTCCAAAAAGCAGTCATTGAGGGGTGCTTGATTCCAAACGGGGCAGGGGTGAGAATGGCAACCCGCCATCCGCTTAGAGCGACCGATCTGAGGGTTGCTTTGAGATCCATAGGTAGGGGGACGGGAAGAACCGGCCGGTCCCCAGTGTTTCCCACTGCTTGAAGTGTTGAGTTGGAGTAAGCAGGTTCCTTCCAACATGATACCTAACTACCTACCGTGTGCCTGAACTTGCCAAAGAAGGTTCCGAAAACAATGTATACCTACCGAAGAGCCCAACAAAGGGGTCTACCTCAAACAAATATCAACTTCGAAATGGCCCAACAAATCAAGTACAAGCAAATCTGCAACACTACACCTATTTTACCTATAAAAACACCCACAAGCCCTTTTCGCGCGATAGGCCACCCCAGTCTGCTGCACCTTCTCCGGAAGGAACTCCAGGCCCACCACTTTGGCCACCGCCTGACCCATCAAGGCCCTCATGGAACGGCCGGCCGACAGGAGTCACCCCGGCCCAAGAAGCTCAAGGGTTGACAAGGGTCGCGAAAGCTTGACGCAGGATGGCGGAAGCGGAAAGCCTTGTCGAAGTGCAACCATGCCCAGGGCAAGGCTAACAAATGGATGCTTTGTCCAGCACCCTCGAAGCAACATGGCAATATTTTATCATATTTAGCCTCTGTCAGTAGGCACGTGCAGTTTCGGAGTATGCGCAAGCCAATGCGCTCACAACAACTTGTCCTCCGTCAGGGATCTCTTCGACCATGAGCAACGCGCAGCATTAAACACTTTCCGTCAATCTCCACAGCACCTCCGTTTGAACGGTGCAGGGTATGAAGTGACATTGAATGTTTTGCGCACGGTTTCTCTTGGCGTGCCTTTCAAGCAGGTTCGGGCTGCGATAGTGGTGCTGAAGCCCTTTAAGAATCAACCGTTTTCGCAAGAACCATGATGCAAAGCTTTTGCAGCAACACTACCATCTCCCCGTCTAGAGGCAGCCTTCGCGAATTTCTCTTCTTCCGAATTCTTTCCTCAAATTAATGGTGTGCAAGAACCAAATGACAACGACCTGCATGTAGTGGGCCAATTGATGAGAGATCGTGGTCTTGATGCCCAGGGCCGCATGAAACAAAGGCTGGAACTTCACCAGCAGCCAGGCCGACACGTTCATGGCCGCGGGAATCATGGACCACGGGCCGAGTTCCAAGCGGACGGAGTGATACCACACCATGGACCCCGACATTTCCACAAAGCCCATCCCAATCTGCGTGCTTTTGTACGCCAAGCCCAGGTGCGATTCCTGGGCGAAACATGACAGCTCCCGTTTTTCTGGGGTGAGAAAGGCCGTGTTTCCTACCCAAAGGTCCGTCCGAATGCTGCCAGGTGGCCCTGACTTCACTGGCCGGATGGCCATGCAGCAGTTTCCAAAGGGTCGCAAAGGCAGAGGCGCAGAGACACCCGAAGATGAGCGCGGCGAAGATGCACTGGCACTTCACCAGAGAGGACCACTTCAGGCCGTAGCCCAGTGCTGAGCGCAAGGCGTCGCCACCGAAAGCCAACGTCATGATGACGTAGTAGGCCGTCAGCCCAGCCGCCCCCGTAGAATCTTCCAGGAAGTGAGCTATAGCACCCAGGCCATAGGCCATCGCAGTTCCCACGTAGAAGATCAGGAAGGTGTCTTTGACTACCTCGGCCAAAGTAGACAACATCAAGCGTCGCTTATCGAAAGCAGTGGCAATATGTCATAAGAACTCACAACAAACAAGCACAGCAACGCCAAACCAGTACACAACTTATGAAACACAATAAAACACAACAAGCACTCCGAACAGCACGGATTTTTTTGGGGGAACACAAAACGTGCCAACACGCACACGCGCAAGCACCCGCACGCACACGCACGCACATTCACTCGTAGACAACACACAAGACACTTCAAAACAAACCAACCAGAACAAAACAATTAAAACCAAACCAAACCCAAAGCACACCAAAGCGAACCAACAAAGAAGCAAGCACACAACGTGAATGCCTCGTTTGCTTTTCCTCCCACCCTTTAAGGCTCAAAGTGGCCAAGGTACCACTTGGCTAGACAAGACAAAGAGCAGGCTGGTCAAGGCCAAGAGGAGGTCTTGCGCCCAGCCGCCGGCCTCCAGGCAAATGCAGGGGTTGAAAAGGATAAAACCACCATATAACCCTTAAAGGAGTATATACCCGTTCTTTCCTTGGCAAGTGCAGAATTTAGCCATCATGACATCCCAAAGTCGGCTATGCTGGGCGTCTGAGACTAAGCTGGACGACCAGGTAAGTCGGGCTGTCCCTTCTTTCCCTTTTCTAAGGGGGGACCGTACTGCCTCATTTATAAATAGATCCGAGCTGTGAGCAAGCAAATTGCAAGGAACTCCCCGCAGGCAGAACAATCGCAACCAAGATTGCGCCTTGTCATTGAGATCTCCGTCCAAGTCATCATCCAGCTCATAGATGTAGCTCATAGACAAGCCAACCATGGTTGCTAGAAGAGCTGTCCTTTGCAAACGGAATGTGACAACCGTTTTTTGCTTTCAACATCTGCCGTGTTGATACACACTCCGGCTGCCAAATAAACTTCTGCTACATGCGTTCAGTCTCATTGTGACCGCACCTTTGGCGATGGCATACTCTACGGGCTCCCAGTAGGTCAGTAAAAGCGTCTTCGCGCGCTTCAGCCGCCTGCCAACAGGTTCTTCCAGCAGGGACTCTTGCAGTGTCGCCATGGTCACTTCCAACCCGCTTCGAGTGGTGAAACGGGTAAGGACCTTGCCTACGCGCGCGCGCGCGCCCGGTCGGATATAGCTGCGGGCGTGTCGAGACAAACGAAATGCTGCTGTAGGCACCAAGTTACGAAGTGACCTTGGACATGTCGGGCGGAATGCTCTTCTTGTCTTAGGTTCAGGAACGCCAGTGCTCGCGACAACATGGGAAGCTATGTTGCGTTTAGCTTGCACAAACACAGGTCTCGGGCAACCTGATCTTTATCTGCTGCGGGAAGCATTATTTTGGTCCATCGGGCCAACTCACCGGCCGGACACCGTGTGTGGGACCTCAACCCGCCCGTCCAAACCTGGGCAAACACAACTCAGGATATGCGTGGATAGTCAAGTCGCGATTATGACATCGACTCATGAAGGGAGCCTGCCGGATGCCTTCTCCCGCGCTGTATTTTGTCTAGCCATTTGTCCCCTGAGATGTGGGAGTGTCCTCATTGCCAACCGTTGCAGGGCCCGGCAAGCCCTGCTGACACATTGGTAACATGGCGTTGGATTGCGCGGCCAGCTGCCTACTTGAAGGAGAAAGGCTTCTAGCACGGCAAAGAAAAAGCAAAGCACAAACGGCGGCGGCGCATTCCTGGCCTGCTCTCCATCTTTGTACTGGCCTTTTCCTCAGAATGGCTCCGCGCAATCCGGAAGCACAGGACAAGAAAAGCAGGATGAACATAACTGACAAATACTGACAGCCTCTGGTTGATTAGTTGCCCACCCAAAAAATCAACCAATCCCCATCTAACAAGGAATCCCCTGATTGACGCTTGGAGGGAGAGTACTCAGGGGGCTATATAGACGTGTCCTTTGCGTTCCCACGTCAGCCCTTGGTAGCAACGTTCGTGGACCCTCAAAGGCTCCGCTTCTTGGTTTGAGCTTTGGGTAGTCCCGATCCAGTTGGGCAACTGTCAGTTACATGCAGCCTCTTCGCTTCGCCTACTGCCAAGACTTTGTATTTAATGAGTGCTGGGGATCTACGTGCGGCATCTGGTGCGACTTCAGCATCACGCAGCACTCTCTGTGACGTTGAGATCTAGCTGCAGGATCCCCTCTACTGACAACCCTGAGGACCCTGCTCTCCTCGCCACACTTCTGCTCATCCCACGAAACGTGGTACGCAGTGCCATACTGACCTGCCCGGATTCAGAAGAATGTTTCCTGGCCCAACGAAGGCTGTGTGGTACTCGTCAAGAAACTTGCCAATGGAAACAACAAGGACAGCCAATCTGCACTTGATATCTTGGAAGATGGCGCAAGGCTTTGTTTCTCGGAAGGTGATGCAAGATGTGCATTGCTACTGAGGCAGCACAAGGGTAGCCTAGCCATTAGGTTCATGAACATGACAAGCAACAGGGAAATTATCAAGTTCTGATGAATCCGCTTTCGCCTTTGGAAGTTCGGGGCAAGCTCTGTGCAACTAGAGCTGAGGAGAACCAGATTTCACCAACCTGAAGCAAACGTCAGTTATTTAAATGGTCCATCCTGAAACCCTCATATTTCCGATTCATGCCCCGCCCACAAAGTTATGGCATGCATGGAACTTAACGCACATCTTTCCTAGCCGCATCCCAAAAAGAAAGAACACAACACAGCCACTTGCCCTTCCTACAACAGGAGAGTGTCAAGCGGCTGTCCCTTGTTTCATGGCTCCTTGCATGCCCCTAGATGCCCTTAATTAGTATCCCCTTGAAAGATTCCAGCCGGGGTATCTCTCTCCAAAGTTTCCCGAGGCTCGGGAGCCAACCGCGCCTCGCCCGAGCTGCTTGCTCACTTGCCAGCCGCTCGACCTGAGAGAGTGTTGCAGGAGGCTGCAAAAACAGCCGACTTCGAAGGGGCTTGCGGCTTGCAAACTTCCGTGGGGTGACATTTTGTGCTCCATGCGTAGTTCTTGAAGGGTCCCAGAGCAGGGGACACGCATGCAGGCCTGCACCTGCTCTGTGCCATGCAGGCCTTGAGGTAGGTATGCTCAAACGCCGCAGATCACGCAGCTCGTTTGCTATATTGCGATTCCAGGATCATGAGCAAACACTCCAGTCAGGCTCCTCACGGGGCCTCTGGGGATCCCTACGCAGCGATGCGATCACGCAGCGCTGGCTCGCCTCAGTCGCGCTTGCTCTCTACAGTTGCCTTCCCGCACCGTGCAACTCGAGGGGCAGAAGCAAAAGATATCAAAGGCAAGGACATTGGCCATGTCAACTCCGAATCACACTGACGTGCCCGTGCGACTGAGAAAACAAGGTCGAGCTGGTTGGATTTTCACTGACATCTGACATGAGGAGTGGCCACCGACCCACCAAGCAAAACTGAACTCAAGCTGGACAATGTCAGCCGTGGACGCAGGCAATGCCAAGGCTCACATCGAACCCAATCTGACGATTTCAGCCCATTTGCCGATAGCCCCGCGTTGAATCGGCCTCCTGGTCGAGGGAATTGACTTTCGATACGTCGCAGCTCAATGGCACACGACTTTCCTGCGAGGCCCTGGCCCATTCACACGCGAAGACCTGGCCAGGTTTGAGCCGACCAAACACTTGGCCTGATCGAAATGGCCGAGGTCGCTGATTCGAGAAGAATGTGTAGTTTATGAAGTATCTGTGTGAATAAAATTATGTGAACATGAAATATGTCAAGGATTTGGAACCCATCCATGCCACGAACATGTCTAAACAGAGAGACCTTTTCCGTGCACGTGCGGCAGTGGAAAGCATTTTGTGCGATCTGAGTGAGTACCCATTGGAGCCAAAAACCACCCTCAAATGCCTGAACAAGCACGGACCTCTCCATGGTCCACAAACACATGCCCGACTAATTTTAGTACCACTGAAAGTTGTATCAAATGCGAAGAACAGTAAGTCTAGAAAAGCAAATGTTTTGGCCAGCTTCATTAGCAACACAATGACAAAATTGGCTCTGCACACGCACCCAGCCTGCTGTGTCCGCCAAACCTCTCCATGGGGCAGATCCGCCTACCCCTGGAGTACTGAGCCTTTAGCTTGCGGTGGACATGAGGATGGCCACAGCAAACCCTGTGTGCAGCTGTCGGTCACAGTAAGCCCACACACAGATCCCAAATGAAACCCAAACGCGCACCAGCACCCCCCCACAACTGCTTTTCCCAATGTCAAAAATCCCGAGTACTGTCCAAAAAGCACTGGTTGGGACCCGGATGCTGGCGGGCTGTTTCTGAACCGTCCCTCTCCCGCTTCAGTGTTGGCTACGAGCTGGGTAACTGGAGCGAAACAGCCACTGGCCAACCCAAAACATGTTCCCCAAACATCAGATGCTTCAAAACGAAAAATCCGCCACCACAACACGCAACATCTGGCAACACACAAATGGCCTACCCCCTAAACCTCCATACGTACAAAACAGGATCGTTGTTGAAAGCACAAACATGCGCGTGCCAGCTGCGCCAAATGCGCTTTTTTGGTTCAGCGTTTGCCCTTGCGCCCCTTCTTGGGGCCCAGGTGCGCTGCAGAATGCGGCCTGCCGCATGAAAAACCGGCTTTTGACAGCGTGTGCACGCGATTAACAAAGCCAAACGATGACGAGAATCCGGCGCCTGCCATCCCACGGATTGACGCAACCGCAGTACTCTAAGCACCTTTGCCCCGGGACAATGAGACACACCCAGCTTGCTTGATCTTTGTTTTGCCCAGCCTTGTTTCCGTGGGCACGGGTCCAGCCTCAGGCTCAAGGCGAGCTTGTTCCAACAAACCTTAACCGCCAAAGCAAAGTATAAGGAATATTAATTCCGGCAACCCATGCCAACCCCCACCTCACTGCGCCCTGGAAAAAGGTACGGCAGTCTGCTTTAAGAAGGCGAACAATGCCGATGCCCCGTCCCTTCCTGCAAGCTTCAACGCACAAAATTGGAACCACCCCCTTGCGAACTTGAGCCAAGCCCAACTGTGCTTGCTGAGAGATGGGAAGTTCATAAGGTTCATTGATGCTTTTGACAGGGCCTGTTGCAAACGTATCCTGCAATTAGCTTGTATGCCGAACAGTCGTGAACTGCTGGCACGGGTTCAGCCATTCGCATGCATCTGCACCGCCACAAAGGAACATCAAGCTGATTCTCATTCGCATCCTTTCAACGGTTTCCGTGCACGGTGAGGTGCCAGGCAGCAGGGCGCGTTGCGTCATTGAAAGGTCTCTCCACTTCTGTTTTCGCGCAAACCTCACATTCAGGTTGACATTTAGGGAGGCTCAGACTGGAACATAATAGCAAACATGGTATGATCGATTGATATGCTTTGTTTGGCCAAATTCTGTTCAGGCTGCGGATGACTGCCTTTGTTCTTTACGCAGGGAATGCCTGCCACCTTGTCAAGGAGATCGAACGGCAGGGCCATTTCATGGGTATCTCTTAGGTCACTCAGGATCACAATTCACCCCAACTTTGCACAAGCACCAGGCATCTGGAATTTTGGCCCGGACAAGCCCAAACCCCAAAGGGGCGCATGTACAACTGGACCTCCTAACCTCCCACCTTAGTCATCTTCACCACCCCAAAGAGCCCAGTGGGGTCAAATGCCGCCTCGAAAATGAGTTCCGGGCCAAGGCATCGACACGTCGCCGGCTCGAGGTGCCTGGGTTCTGCATTGGTGCGGGGCACAGGGAGAGGTCCCAGCCACAGATCGCCCGAAAGAATGGGGCCGCCAAATCTAACCTGAAAAATTGGTCCTAGCGCTGGCCTGAAATGCAAGGATGCAGCACTGCATCCGGCACTGGGTATAAATAAGCCATCATCAGGCTCCCAACTGCGTCGGGAACCTAAAGGGCTCAACAATTTGAGACTCAGATTCCTCCATTTGCCTAAGTCCCCGGAAAAAAAACAAAACAAACCAATTCCCAATAGTTACAGTAACAGGTTCCCTTGAAAACCACCAGGGAGAAATAACAACATCTTCTTGTGAAAATGGAAGGCCTTCTTCGTCTCTGCACAAGTGGCTCCAAGCGCCGCACTGTTCGGCCGCGGCAGGGAGGCGGAACGCTCCAGGCCTAGGAGGCGCAGGGGCCGCAGGGGTGTGAGCCGCCGAAGGCCCTCGTAGAAACATCTAGCACAGAGTCGCGGGCGTGCCTTTTCCTCTGCAATGAACCGCCTCCCTTGAGAAGGGTTTCTACACTACCAGGGGGTCTGCTTATTTTTCAACCACAAACCACGGCACAGAGCCGTGGGCGTAGCAGAAGAATGATTAACCATTGGGGTGGGCAGATTGCCCACAGCTTGTGGGGTGGGAAAGAATACACAAGCACAGATTGTCGCGTGGGCAGCGGGCTGTGATTCTGCAGACATCCTAAAGTCGAGTAGGATGTGTTGGGCCAAAGAGATTGGAATGACAATGACTTTGTCGTGTTGCAATGTTTGGTTCTGGATCAACAGTAGCCAAACCATTTCATTCAGCATTGCCGCGCAAGCAGCATGTGATTCCGCTGTTCATTTTGCACACTAGAGCTGTTGTTGCGCATGTCGAAGTGTCTTGGACGCATAATCTCAGACCTGTAGCATAGTTTGATCGTCGATTCGCAACTGCACTTTACTGTTCAACACTGCCTTTAACATATGTCTGATGCAATTTGCTTGCTAGCAAAATGCAACTCTACCGGCGTGTATGCCCGACAAGGCTTGGCCATCCGCTTCGAGTACATCGATGATGCCGAATGTTTGTTCATCAGTTATAACGCGTAATATACATCTCTTTTTTACGATTATTCCGGATCGAGCAGCACAAATGCCAATTTCAGACTAAAGCGCGTATTTCTTGGCAACACACAATCAATGATGAAACGGTTCTGCTGTTGTGTGTAGGTTTCCTGTGTTCTGCTCATGTTCCGCCAGTCTCCGCTCATTTTCTGGGACAGAAGATGGCTAAAACACAAGCAAACAACTGCGAAGAGCCAAAAGAAATGACCAAACGGAAGGTCCAGGATGGCCCAGCATGGTATGATGAGTCATTGCACTTCATGACGATAATTTCTGACCATGCCGACCACGCCTCACTTATGCATTCCCCTTTCGACGGAAACAAAACACCCTGGCCTTGATACATGCCCCCATGGTCCCCATGGCTGGCAGATGCTGGCATCAACAGCCCAAACTGGGGCTGTGGCCCGGCGGTTGCTTGCTGTGGCCCGGCGATTGCCTGCAGTGGCTCCAGATAAAGCGATTTGAGCCGCAACTCCCTGCTCTTCACGAAGGTTGAGCCCAAAACGATCGAAGCGCTGCCACTGCTACCACCTTTCGGGTTCCATAGCCCATCTGTCCAAACATGTCCAAACTTTGTACCCGAAGGGCTGTCGACTGCTAGTCGTAGGGGAGCAGCTCAAACCGCGGCCCATGCCTGGGCTCAGAGAGCAGAGCGGAGGATGCTGCCTGCGTCCAAGCTGCAACCCGACAGCTTGCGTCACACGTGCTTGAGCCGATGGAGCAAACAAAGTGGCGTTGCCTCTGCCCAAAGCTTTCAGGCACGGGTTGCCGCACCCGAGTCAGCAACTGAACAACAACATGGCACACCGGCTCCTCGAACATCATGCAACGTCCACTCAATCAAGTAGTGACGTCTTTTGCGTGATGTGTAAGTTTCAAGCTACACCTAAGTGGGTAATTAGGCAAGTACGCTCAGAAACATGGCACGTGACAAATCAACCTATGTTCATGCTTGGATGCAAGGCCCACGTCCCCAACAAAAAAGACAAGCAGCATGGCTGAAAGGAACCCACAACGGCCGAGCGCTTTCAGTTGCAGAACAAACTAGTCCAAAAGCAAGACTCCGCGCATCCCTTAGCAAACAACAACTGGTTATGGCCACAAACAATCAACACGCTCCTCATGCATCCGCCTGATTTAGCACCTCTTCAAGAAGCTGCCAGGTGCTTTAAACGAATGCTGACTAACCTCCAAGCCATGGGTTCCCTGATCCTGGGGTCTGCGCACTGCGTGGTCTGCTGCTGCTCTTTGACATCGGCCTCCTCGCCTGTGCCAAACTGGTCGTCCCCAACCAAACCCATGCCCTTGCAACGTGGTTGCTTCCCACCGCGGCCTGGTACGGAGACGACTCCGGGGATGGCCAGGCAGCCCGATACAAGTCCGGAAGCACCTTCCTGTCCTGAGCACGGGCGTGCCAGGGCAAGCTAGAACTCACTGAATGAACTGCATGTCAGGACTTATACGCACATGGAACACATCAAAATACATCACAGCAAATCACAAGCCTGAAAAATAGGTCCCCCCCCTTCCCAAGAAAAAGGTCCCTCAATGGAAATGGGGGGAAGCTTGCTAGTGTCCCCTTGCATCAGTGCCGTTTGCTGCGGCGCTAGTAAGCGTTTGGGTTTGGCAAACCTCCCCCCTATTAGCAATTCTATGCTGGCACTAAATTTGAACGCGGGAAATCAATGGGCCCCTGAGATCCACACCGGCGCTGCAAAAGAGTCTTGGGACATCGGCTTGTGCTGTGAGCTTGTGGGTCATGAATTGATTTTCGCTGGCCATGTCCACATCCCAGCGGTACTTGCCAAATGGAAGGCTGCGATGATGCTCACCGTACTTGCGACATGTCAGCTTGCTGTTGGCACAGTGGGCAAGGTTCCCCGAAAGCATCTCTTTGAGCTCTCACAAACCAATTGGCATACACATACTTCTTCATATTTCCACATCCTGCCCGAAGGGCCAAGTGTTGACATTCGCCTCTGACTACGGGATGCTAACTGCATGTGACCCGCCCCCGGCTGAGAGGAAGCAGCTCCAAACAAATATGAACCCATGGGGCCCCGAAAAAACCGCAGAACCTGCCAAGAGCTTCCTGATGGAACCTGGTCCCAGGGCCTAGGCCCACTGACTCTTACAAGAGAAATGAGAGAACATGCCATCTGCCGTGGCCAAGCTTAGCACAACACACCCTTTCTCCGCCTGTCTTGGAAGATGCCCATGGGGCTAATGTTAACCCCGGATAAATAAACCCCTGTTTATTAATTTATTAATATGGGGGTGTCCCTGGATTTACTGGGGATTGTTCACTTTTGGTGGGGAACACGCCCCAATTTATAAACTGGGGTTGACCAAACCCCTCTTTGCATCGAGGTCCCCGGCATCGACTTGCATGAGCTTCTCCAAGGCCCCGCCCAGCAAGGGACTGACGGGATGGCGAGAGTCACGGTTATCTGATCATTACGAAGCCGGAGCCCAACTGGGAAAGAACGTTACTTGCAATATGTTTCAGGCAAAACACACATCATATGGCAATGGGGAGGGCAAACTAACCAACACTAACCAGCCTGGTTCATGGCATATAGGCGGGTGCAAACCCTCAAGTAGCTGGCTACCCACATCAAAGGACGCCCTTTAGCAGCGGACACCACGCTGGAGTTTGATTAACTCGAACCCTTGGGTCAAGCTACCTTGCTAACCAAATGGATCCAACACATGCTAATTGTTTGAGTGTTGGAAGGTCAGTTGGGGCCAAAGCTGCCCTGCACGCTTCGATTTCGGCGCCTGCGCTTCACGAGCGCCATAAAGTCAGGCCCAATGCCTCGCGCGCCAGCGACTTGTCATATAGATCGGATCAGATCGGCCAGAAAGAAAGTTTGGCTTTTGAGACCGAAACGGCCTCAAACAAGCGGTGCCCAAGAATCCGAGCAGTGAGAAGGCCAAATGCGACGCAACCCATCTGTCGAAAAAGGGCCCAGGCTACAACACCGCAGCCACGAAACACATTGAAACAGGGGGGGCCTGCTTGTCTACCAAAGGGCTGTAGTTGAAACGGTTTGGAAATGCGAGGTGAACTAGAAACTATTGTGCTACATGGCTATTTCCACAAGATTCAAACAGCGGAAGTCAAGCAGTAGTGTTCGGCGTTGTCGCTGTTTTAGTTTTGCTGTTTGTTGGTTCGCCCTGTTTAGAATCGGCTTGGATTTAGGCAACACTCTCGTTTATTTGTTCACCGTTTCTTTGAGTACCCTTTCGCCTTTTGGGTTATTCAATTATGTTTTGTTTTGTCTTGTGCAGCTTTTGAGTACTCACATGTTTGCTAGTACTGCGCGGACACTCAAACAAGGAAAGTTCCCAACCCCGACTTCAGCCCCTCAAGTCAAGCAGTGGACACCACACTCCCCAGCCCATTGATCCATAGATCCGGCCTGGGGCACCCCCCAAAGTGGAGCTCATCCACATCCTTAGAACGCTGAAGCTGCATGCCATTTCCATCGCCTGAAGCTCAAGCCCCGCCGCACCGAGTTTTGTCTGTTACCTCATGGGACCAGCGGAGGATACATGAACGCGTTCGGCAACCTGATGGCCTCAACTGCAGATGTGCCCCCTGAGAAAGTTTCCATCAATCGGGTCAGTCGGCTCAAACGAGCACAACCCGCAGCATGGCAGCACGCCTTTTAAAAGTGCTGCGACACCGTTGGGCAAACCAGTTGGAGACGTCCAAGGTTTCTGTTCAAATTAGTGTCGATGTCGAATGTCGGGCTAACTTCCTTTTCAATTTCACACACCGGGCAAGGCGGCAAGTAACAAGCATAACTTTGGCACAATTCAGGAAGACACGTTTCTTCCCTACGCTAAGGTGTACTATCTCTAGACTTTCTTTGACGGTTCAATGGGCCCATAGCCATAGGATTCACAGTTGCCCAGGCTTCTGTTCGAAACCTGAATACCTGATGCACCTGCTCCATATCAATGCTCCAGGGGAGACTAACCCTGTTCACTTGCAATGGAGCACAAAACGACAAATGCGGAGAAAGCTTGAGAACTCCCGCTGGACAGGGCCTCATTGGCTTCCCACCCAACTGGCTGCCCCGGCGTGTCTTGTTTCCGGCCAGCCTCAAGAGTCGGACCCTCTTCAAAAAGTGACGCCATGCAGAAACTCTCTCGGGCTGCAATGTTTTTCAACTGGCCCAACAGGCAAATCTGGGCTTTCGGCACAGTTCCAACGCTCCTACCCTGGGGTTCGGATCGCGAACAACAAACAAGGTGAACTTCATCGAAGGCAAAATGCGCCACGGTCAAATTTGCCTGACTTGTTGTGAGTGACTCCTATCTCCTCCATCGTTCTCCAGTTTGGGTATTTTGGAAGGGTATCATGGGGCCCCTATCGATTTCTATGAACATCGCAAGGGTGGACTACAAAGAAATTATGGGCTCATTCAAATCTGCGACACTATCATTTGAGACTGCCTCATATGTGGAAGTTCTGGTATGCAAGTTTGTGATGAAATCATGCATATGCCGTGAATCTGGGAGGCTACCAGCGTAGGGATCCAACTTGGAAGTGGGTGTCCATAACTTCAGCCTTGGACTTGAAGCACATAGCGGTTCTTACTCCAGAACAAACCGACCTACAGCCGCGGGAAAACAAGTCCACCGCCGGGCAGCTGTTACACACCCGCCAAGCACCATCAAGCAACAGAAACATACAGAAACTAATGGAGGGTTCCGTGCACATCGTTTCCTCGGAGACCTGTCACCGGAAGTTTCCTACTCACCGGGACTCGTTGAAGCCTTGACAGGTCTCCAGTTCTGAGGTCCCTCCACTTCGGTTCCTATCCAATCGCCGCTTCAGCCGATTTGGTTTTCAGGCCCAGGGCGTCCACTTTCGTTGAGCCCCCGGGGGCCATAGATGTGATAGGCAGGGAATCCAGTTGAAATGACCCCGAGAAAACCATCCCGATGTGGTTCCTTTAAGGGAACAAAGGGTATATTTTCAACACCTGGAGGGGTCATATTCCCTACTCAGCACAAGCAACACGCTTCAATCATGCAAGTAACCAAAGGTGACCAAACCAAAAAGGTTGGACTTCGGCCAAAATCGCTGGGTTTCACGCCAGCGGTGCAGGCCGTACTCGCCTCGGAAAGGTGGCCAGTGTCTTCACTCGCGAAAGGGACCTTCAAGCCACGGTATGTTTGAATCTGGTGTGTTCCCTAAATGTAGCATCTGTATCATATCGCAACTGGAAGAGCGCGCGGTGTGTGATGATCTTCAACTATCACACTCTTGTGGCTGCTCTAATTGCAGCGCAGGCAAATCCTCTAAAAGCAGAGAAGGGGTTTAGCAGCACGTGGCAAAGCCTTTGCCGCAGCGCACATGGCCAACTATGAAACGTGCAACGTTATGTTGTGCATGATGCGACTCAGGGCAGGGGGGCCTGGCACCAAAGCAGCGACTCATGGAATGCTAGAGGTTGCCCACTAATCTGAGCATAACGTGCACACATGATCCCCAACTGTTCAATACTACATGTGATCCACTGGAAGGAACCTCTTGCTCTTGGAGCCTCTTGCTTCGAAAGGCCTCAGACCGGATGCGCATCCAACGTGTCGCGCCGCCAGTTTTTTTTTGTGCCAAGGGCGCAAACGCTCGGCTGCCGTGCCCCTGAGACCCATCTGGATTTCCATGGCGAGTGCTCGGTTGAGTGAGGAGCGTAAGGTACGTCCTCCTAGCCTCTAACAAATGCCCTCAGGTCCCGGATGCCCGGGGAAAGGTCTTCGACAAGGCTCAAGAGGGGGATGGACCTGGTGCGTAGCTGGAAATTACCCGGGCTTGCAGGTAGGGGTGGGATGAAACACCCAGTTACTTCCAAGCCGCCCCTGCCCGCTTCTCAAGAGGACAACTTTGGGGAAGGGCTCACAAACTAACATGGGCCAAACATTGCCCAGGAAACAGTCAAACCACGAGACACTGTTCTCAGGAAATTCAGCGAGTGTAACCGCGAAACCTTGGCTCACTGCTAGCAGATGCTGGCAGGCGACCGCTTTGCTATTTGCAAGGCTGAGCCCTTCGGAAGCCTAAGCTGCAACGGAAGGAAGCCCGTGCTGGAGGCTACGTATGACATGTTTCTTGAAGGTTCAAGCATGCCTTACACAACACGTCGTTGTCTGCCCGGCTTGCATGCCGTCACGCCCAGGCCGCCAAGCAGCCTCAAAAATAAGGCCACAACCGAGGCATGCTGGGTCCCATTCCAACTGCCATGCTTTGCTGCACAGAACCTAGATGCTTTCCAACACGCCTGCTCTGTAACCAGGTTCAGGTTGGGACAAGCAGAATGCCCCATACAACTCGTACATTTTTCAGCCCGAGAGCACTTAGCAAGTCTGGCAAGAGATGGGCTTAGGGGTGCTGCGAATTCTTCCTTGTTTGGCTTGCCAAGAAAGGAACATTGTCTTCGTGTCTGCGACATGTTTTCCGCCTTCAACGTGCAGCCATGTTGAGAACCACTGCCCTGTCCTACAAGGATGCATCGGCCTCTACTGTCCAGCCACGGCCCCTCGGCTCCAAATACATTTCCAGGCCCGCGCAAGACCTGTTTTTTGAAACCAAACACACCGATTGCGCAGGGCAGGGCGGCCAGGGCTCCTTGGGCTGGGCCGGGCACAAAGCAAAAGCTTTGCCCTAGAGTTGCTTGCGGCTCAGGCATGGAGCAGGCCCGCACGCCACCCCGGAGCCCGTTTCACCCTGCCCCGGTGTGCCACGAGCACGTACCCGGCGTGTCCGCATTAGAAACTCTAGCACCCACAACTGCTTGCCACGAAGCAAGCTGCAACATACTTGCCCTCTGGCCCTTGCTTTTCCTGATTCCTTTTATGTTCCCTGGTCAGAAGACGCTGTTTGTTCTAGGTTGGGTGTTGCGTCTTTATGAAGGGTGGCCCACTGTTGCCATTCTCAAAGTCATCCCAAGAGGTAGGTTCAAAGGACAACACCGAGGCATACTGGGTTCAGTTGTTAGTGAGTTGGGTTGTCGTTGGTTCAAAACATTCGGCTGGGCCCAGCAACAGCAGCAGCTTATGTTTTCAGACGCCAAGTGGTATATTGTGGGCGTCTAAAACTAGAAACCCCTGCAGATAGTGTTTTGGTTGCCAGTTGGGCTTCCTTTGACAACGTGCCCCCCCTCCCCTGAAAAACATACCCACGTTCGAAAAACAATGTCTCTCCCTTTTGTTTCCTGTTTCTCTCTCTCTCTCTCCCTCTCGCTCCCTCTCTTTCGTGCTAGACAACTTTTTGGGGAAGGCAACCCAAGTAAAAAGCAAAATGGGGCCCAACATATCACTTGAAGCAAACAGAACCGCAACTCCGACCTTGCACTGCCCCTAAGCCCCCCGCTGGCCAACCAGAACCTCTGGTTTGGTTGATAGAAGCCATGGGGCGGGACCCTCCAAAATTAAGAAACGGCCCTTCCAGCAATACTCACCCGTTGCTTAACAACAAAGCCAGCAAGCTTTTAAATACAGGGGTGCTTTTCTTGCGGTGTTCTGACTGGCTCCCTTCTTGTGACTCTGGATTGAAGAGCTTCGCGCAACATGTCGCCGCTTAAGCTCACTTGAAATGTCTTGACGGGACCGGGCGTTTGTAAAAAGGGTACACCCCGATCTTGCAAGGGCCAAAGGGGGGTCCACTCCAAAACCAAGCGCAAAGCGCACGCGTCTCGCATGTGCATCGCGCGTGTGGACCTTCTTGCGGCCAGCTATGACCCCACGGCCTCCCCAGCTTGGCCTCATGCACGGATCACTTGCCTACATAACTCGAAACCTGACCAGGAGCCCATTGTTGAACGCGTTGGTTTTCCGGGCACAAAGCCTATGCCTCCCCCGGAAGGCCACTGGTCTGCCTTTTCGGATGCATCCTAGCACAGAAGGTTCACTTCACATTGATCGCGATGATTGCACTAGCAATGACTTGCCGAACAACTCAGGATTCCCTCTGACCTCAAGGTGAGTGGCCTGTTCCTTGCTCCGACGGAACCAAGCCAGTGTTCTGCACGACGTGCCACAAGCACCAAACATCCGGGCAACCATGTGTGAGTGGGGAACTTCAACTCAACAGTGATATACAGTGATAGAGACCCTGCCGCCTCCAAAGCACCTTCAAATAGTGTTTCAATCCAGCGAGGGCAGCCTAGCCGACTGGTAGTGTCTGAAGTCTGCAATTGAAAGACAACAGAATGCCTGGATTCACGTGGTCATTCCCTTCCTCCTTATAAGAAGGTCTCTCTATCAATACATGTTTCCAGGATCCCAAAAAATCCAGGTCCGGGGCTACAAACTTCAATTAGACAAATTGAAACCAAATCTAAAACAGGGACTCCTAAATCATTTATGTATTTCAGGTTTTCTCTGAGAAAGCATTGCTTCTTTTCTTGTTGGTGGGGGGGACCCTTTTATTTTTTGCGGAAAGGGATTAACGTAGTTACGCGGAACATGGAAGCGTGTTCCTGATGTCTCCATTTCCGTGGCCAAAAGCTGGGGCGGCGCGCCAAGTTGCCAACTGCCTACTGCCCGAAGCCGAACATTTTCCGATCGCTTCTGCTGTGGCTCTGGTCAGCTGGATATTCCAAAGAATCAAGCTTGATCCTGCTTGCTCCCTTTCAACACAAACCAAGCCTTAACATGACAAAGGTTTATTGAACGAAAGCAAGTGGCTGACACAATGTGTGTGCTTGCATCACTTCTGGTCAGAAGAAGTTTGCAGTTGCAGCCTAGCCCTGGAAATACGCAAGCCAAATCAGCCGCTGTATATGCTGGTGCTGTTAAGCTGCTGTGCTGTGGCTCTAGGCGTTTCTTGGATTTGACTTTGGTCAAATTGTTGAAATCAAGCATTTCATTGCCTCTCTCCACAGCACGGGGGGGAAAGCTTGGGACAATTACCGCTTCTGCATTGATGGGCGAAAAATGAAATATGGAACAACAAATTGCAAACAAACGCCTACCTGCAAGCGCCGCAGACACGATGAGCCAGGGCCTCTTAGGCCGCAGAAGCAACACGCACCCGTCCGCCCCACAGAGCGCGGAGGAACATGCAAAGCTGCCGTGGCTGGGAAGCTGCATGGGCCATCAGGATTGGCAAAGACCACCTGGCTGAGAAACGCGCCGTTGGCTGTCCGCAACAGACGGGCGGCTATTTGCCAAACACTGCCCGTCCTTCTACACACCAGCCTTGCAGTGTCTTCTAGCGCGTGGCCCATGAAACTGGCAGCTCCCCCTAAGGACGGCAGCTGGGCTGAAACCCCATCGGCGAAACACAAAGACCCACAGTGAGCAGCGGGCAACCTTGCTCTGCGCAGATCAAGCGCCAAGCACTTTCAGCCCCACATAGCCCTACTGCAGAGGTTCTGCTGGCATCAAGCCAACAGTTCCAAGCCCCTTGGCTTGTGCGCCCTGACAGCTTTCAGGCGCATCGAATTGGGGACAATATCCTAGTGGCATGTTTTGCATATTCGCATGGACCTGTGCCGTCCCATAAACGGTAACATGTTGTAATACACCCCCATCACATTTCATGCGGCGTCACCGCAGCTGCCGGTGCAGCTAACGCTCGCCCCGTGGATGCGTTGCTCTTTCCCTTGTGCCACTGAAGTAGACGGCATTGGTAAATAAAAACGCCGAGATTCAAAGAACTAATTAACAAGCAAACAAATCAACTGGTTGGCGAATCCGATGAATCCGCCTTCCATCTAGAATATAAAGTGCAAACATAGCAAGTGGAATCTCATGATTTCTTTGGCGTGCCTGGGAAAAGGGCCAAGGGCAGGGTCATCATATGTTCTTTAATGTTGCTCCACCTGGTTTCTCATGTGTACTCCGGGAATGCTTTATCAACATCGGAGCTAAATTCATAGGCGGAATAATTGCCCATCTGCACCCATTTGTTGTATTGAACGCACATGAACGCACTAGACTGGGCACGTTTGCCTCCACGACATGCTGCCACCTAGGGACATCCCAAAAACGAACAATCAGCAGACTTTCGAACCTAGAGATGCCGCCCCACAACAAATCATTTGTCAACACAAGGGCCCTCTGTCCTCTGCACATCGAGATGCTGAGAATCGAAGTCCTAAACTATCGAGTTGAGG